TTCCTACCTTTAAATAGGAATATGGAAATATTCACGCTTGTATACGAACGATACTTCATATCTCAGTGTAGGAACAACCGAAAGGGTTAAAACTTTCACCATAAACTATTCTCATTGTGATCTCTATTTGTGCAAAGTTTTAAGCTAAAATTCAAAATTGAAATTTTTGGTGACCTGAGGGGGACCACATGGATTGGTTAAAAAATACAATAAAACTTCATTATCTCAGGAACAAGAGTCCATGGGGATGAATCCTTTTCAGGTTCTTCTAGTCTCATAGTCGTCTAGCTATGCGCAAAATAGGAGCTCAAAAGCTTTTTATCACCTCGACAGGTTCCTTCGTTAGATAAGTAACGCCAATAACTGGAGATTTTCTGTTTTGATACTGACAGAGCACTTCTCATCATAGCATACTGAGAAAAAACTATTCATGAGATGCGTAACGAATAGAACTGAGTTATGATCAAGTTTTCTCATGCTCTCTTAATCGATAATCTATTGTATATAAAAATCGTGAAGTGATACAATTTCTTTCAGTGCATACTGAGAAATAGTTAAAATAAACCTATCTTGTGTTCTCCTTTAAAACGATAAACAGGTGATATCCTAGACAGTGACACAAAATACAGTTAGGAAAATCTATACGATGGATTGCTTGATATTGTATGGTACATTTTAAGGCACCTACTACCAACAAGGACAAATGGAATGTGAATGACATAATTGACAAAGATTTACTCGAGAGCTTAACATCTCATGACAAGGATGCGGACGTTCCTCCAGAGTATGTTGAACCAAACAAACCATTGCAACCAGAACTAACTCAGGACGAAAAACAAAAACTGAAGGAATTAATTCATCGCATTGGTGAGCTACAAAAAGAATTAGATCATCAAAAAGACTATGAAAAACATTTGAAAGACTTGGAGAAAAAAATAACAACACAAACTAAATATGCTACCAAACCACCTGAGGCGATGCAAACTTATCTACTTGGTAAAGATGAGTTAGTTACTAAGCATTTGAACGATCAACAAACCCTTCCCGACTATTATGTCTACAAAATACCAAGACTTTTCTTTTATGAACAAGAATCACAATACAATGCTAGTTTGACCGGTCTTCCAACGCATCATCATGAATTTGAATTGGTATTACAAAGAATCTCATATCTGTCGCATGAAACAGAATATGTCAAATATATGTACAAGTGGGAAGTGGCAGAAACTGTACAATCAGTAATTAAGATTATCACTAAACCTGAGAAACCGCTTCAATCATCCCAAACTTGGCAACATTATACAAACTATTTCATGCAAATTTTAAAAGATAAAAAACAACAGCATATCGAACACTTTGATGAATACATAACCAACAAATCAAAATTATTAACAGATCAAGTAATCACTGACACAAATTTCAAGCCTCGTCCAGAACTAGAAAAAAACGTAGTTCATTACAAGAAATCAAATTTATTTACAGATGAAATGGAAAAAATCAAATATGAAGCATTTGTTGAATTTATTAAACAGCAGATTTTTCTACCACAACAACAAATCGATAAAGAACCATCGAAAGAGTCGATTAAAGTTTTAAATGATTTTATCAAAAAAAAGAAAGAAGAATTGCGCACAGAACGAATTTATAAAGGTTTGAATGCAAAACATTTCCAATTGATATCAAAACTATTACAAAGCATTACATTGTACTATCATTGTTTTCAATTACAATTACCACTGTTTGAATCAGCTCCGGACTTGCTGAAAAAAATTGATGAGAATACAGTTACTACAATTTCAACATCGACTGGATCGGGTAAGTAAAAAAATTTGTTATTATTTGCATGCAATGAAATTCCAATATAATATTTGGTTCCTTAGAAAGAAGTGTTACTTATAGACACGACAAAACCGTTTTAGTTATAGCACTGTTTGAAGGATTCTCGAGAGCATTATCCATGCCGTCCAAAATACCATATTTCCATCAATCCAATAGGAATAGGCTTTCAGCTGTAACATGATATATTTTCTGCATCACCGTTGAGTATCTGGGTGTGCATGTGAATTTCAAATAACTCTGTCTTCCATTGCAATCTAGCAACAATATGAGATCATTGTCTTAAGTTGATACTTTCATCTTCTAGGTAAATCAACCCTTTTACCAGCTTTACTGATCGCTGAAGGTTATGACAGAGTACTAGTTACACAACCACGACGTCTACCCTGCACATCGATTTGTGACCGTGTGAATAGCACAATGACTTCAAACGAAGATTCAGAGCGAATAGCCGGTTGGGCTGTTAGTGGTGATGAACGTGATATCAAATCTCCAATTCTATACTTAACTGATGGTCTTCTAAAAGAACAACTCTTGCATGATGAAGATCTAATTACGGATCAAACAAAACTCAATAAATCGATCGTCTTCTTCTTGGACGAAATCCATGAACGGTCTATTAATATTGATCTTTGTCTAGCTTTGCTAACTCGTTTGCTTACTAAAAAACCATATCTACAATCGAAAATGAAACTCGTCATTTCCTCTGCAACACTAGATTCATCTGTACCGGCATTATTTTTACAAAAGATTAAGATGCTTAAATTCGGAGAATTTAAAATGCCAAAACTAGGTACGCTTTATCCAGTAAAGAAGCATAAGCGACCCAATGACAATATAATCACTTTGGTACAGAAACTGAATAAGAAGCGGCAACGAAACGAACAGATCTTATGTTTTGTCAGTTCCACTGCTGAAGCACTTCGTGGACCTCGTCTATTGCAAGAGGTCAGTTCTGGCGCTATTATTGCATACTCACTTATCCAATCACAATCTGCTACTGAACAACAGATGAACATCGAGCACGGTAATATCTTTTTTTCAACTACCGTGGCTGAAACCTCGCTGACGTTTCCTTCTCTTCGATATGTGATTGATACCGGCATGGTTAAAATACCGAAGTACGATTTGAAGATGCAACACACAGTGTTGGAAAAAGTCCGAGTCGCTGAATCAACCATAAAACAACGTCTAGGACGTTTAGGACGAACTCAGCCGGGTGATTATTATGCATTATACGATTTCAAAGTTGATGAAAAGAAATTTCCTACTGCACAAATATGTCAGTCTGAATTGACTACTATTGAATTGTCATTAAGAAAGTCACCAGCACAAGAGGGTCTCAATAAGATAAAGAAGTTCTTACCCGATGAACCACCACAAGCAGCAATTGATATGGCTTTGACGAAATTAAGACGAGTTGGTATGTAGAGAATGTTTTGTTCCTTGTTTTTCGTAGAAAGATATTTGAACTCAATTTCGACTCAACACTTTTGAGAGAGTGCATTGCATCATAGTTGTGATGGAATTTTAGAGATCAGTTATCATCGTTACTTCAAATTACATAAAAATGTTACTTAGACTTTGAATTTACAGAAATGCAGATGAAGTTATTTAGTCACCAACAATTTCTCATGTAGAATTATTCTCACCAACTAATCTCGAGCTTAATTATAAACGCAACAGTCTTGCGTCACAGCACATGATTAATTCTTAAGATTTACTCGGATGATCGACTGAAAATATTACTATTGAGATCAGTCACTTTGACTTACTCTTCTATATTAGATACCGAAATAGAGTAATGTTGAAATTAGCGAATATAAGCATTTTCTGCATGGTGAATTATGATTTTTATGTTTAGGTGTGGTTAAACCTGCTCCAGATGAGAGTTTTACGAAAGATGGCGATGGCATCGCGAAATTACCTGACTTTGACTCGGTGGAAATGTCCAAAGCTGTTTTTTCTGCTCTCACTCGGTATAAATGTGGTCGAGATCTGATCGTTATTGCGTCTGTTTTGGGCGTTTTGAACACCTCTGATGTGCTCAGTACGTTACCAAAGCGCTACAAATCTACCGACGGGGATTTTATGACTCTTTTGAATGTGATGAACGAAGTTTTAGATGCAGAAAAGTCGATGGGACCTCGGCAATTCAAACTACAACAGTTTTGTCAACAAAAAGGCTTAGAAAAAGCCTATCAAACTCTGAACCAAGCGTGCAGACGTTATAAAACTCTCGAGAAATCATTCAGTATGTCTAAGGACTACCGAAATCAGGCACAAATTCAAAGTGGCAAGTGGGAATCAATAGCCAAAGCATTGTTAGAGGGCTATTCCGACAATGTTTTTGTTTCTCTCAAAGAATTGCAGCTTAGAAAGCATCAGTACACTTGCTATCAGTCGTCCAAACCTGACATTGAAGTAGCGGTTTTAGATTCGCATTCGACACTAAATCGGTCAATTAATTCAGCTCCAGTTTCTTTGATTGTGGCTCGTGATATTCTCCGTACGTCATCTGTGCGAGCCAAGGCTATTTTATCGTTCGTTGGTGAAATCAAACCTTCATGGATCCAATATGAAGTCGAGCGAAAAATCAAATTGAATGATACAGAACAGGAAAAGTTAAATACAGAAAAAATTTTACCTACCGCTAAGCGAAATTTTCCTGACGCACATGTTGAACTGAATCATAATGTGTTATCTATCAATGGACCGTCGGGATCTGTTTTAAAGTTCGAACTTTTTGTTTTACAGAAGCTTGTGGAAGACATGGCATTTTCTTTGTCTAGTCACGCTCCTCCGAACAGCGAAGCACATGAGACATTCCAACGAAACACGCAGGGTATTCTGAAAATGCTTCATATTTTTAATCCAATGAAATGGCGATGGGAAAATGAAGCCCAAGTGAAAATAAATGTTGAGCAGAGTCCGACGGATCAGTTGAAAATAACTGTGACAGGGCGAAATTCAAACAATCGTTTAGTACGCGAAGAATTCCTCGCGTTGTCTGTTTGGCTCCGAAACTGTGTCGTTATTCGAACACCAAATTCCGGTAAGTCATACTGATTTTTGAAATTTTGAAATTTTCAAAGATGGAACTAAACGACAAGAGGAATGAACCCATAATATCTAAGAATAACAACCCCCATTGTATAAACTAAAACCTGATCTTATGATCGTGTTTTAGATATGTACAAAAAATCACTGTTCATGCAATCTTACACCAGATTATACTATAAGAATCTTCAAAGATCTAACTGTTCGATCAGATATGGCTACAAAATTATGTGAGATTGTATGAACAGCGATTTCATCTGATTGTATGGTTTGACGATTGATTTTTTTAACTGCGTACAGGTACAAAGTGTCTAGATCGTCATCGTCTCGAATAAGTTCTAGTAAACTATTACTTTAGTTGTCTATGTTGTTTATTTTCAAGAAACACTGTATTAATTTCTTTCGCTTATTTCATTCGAAGGTGTGCCTCCAAGACTATTAATACCTCAAGTTCGCCACAGATATCTCGATATTGAAGAAAGAATTTCTCATGTAACAGACAGTAAACGTACCACGATCGATCTTTGGAACGGACTGGAAGGACCAAAGGCTACGCGCGAAACGCGTATGGAAGTCGTCGCATGGTTTGCTGTTTGTCAGTTTGGTTGTAAATTAGAAGGTGGCTTTGTTCGTGACTGGATTGCAGGTGACTACATTCAAAGGCCAGAGGGAAAACACGCTGATCCGTCCACATGGATTTCTCGTACACCTAATGCGGCAGGAGTACAAGTACCTATTATAAACAATGCAGTAACTCCAGCTGATTTGGATTGTCATTTATCGGCATTTAAATATTTCGATATCGACAAATTTTTAGATGCCATGCACAAATATCAAATTGAATGTGAAGTTATCCGTGAACAATGGAGATATATACTGCTGTTTGACGAGCACGCCAAAACTGGGCCATTCATGATGGACTTGATAGAGCCACACGTGGCACTAACTCACGATCGTATAGATTTCGATGTGAATAATCTATCGCTTGAAAAAGATTATACCAAAGAACTGGGTATGCGAGTGGACATAGAAAATGTACCCTATTCAATCGAATTGGAAACAATTGTCGATCGTATTCGTCGTAAAGAGCTAAAAATTCTCCGTCCAAGTGATGACCTCCTTGAACAACGACTCAACAAAATGGTAGAGGTTCGTCATTGGTCTGTGAAAAATCCGCCTGTGTATGTTATTCCGAAGCCACCAAACAAATATTTAGTAGCTCTTGCTTCATTACCACCATCATCGGATCTCTATAAGGATCTTGTGAAACGATTGCAAGTCATTCCTAATATACAAATAATAAAAATTGAACTAATCAGAAATCCTGGAACAGAAGATCTTTACCTTGGAATGAAAAAACTGATTCAAAAACAGTTGAACAATGGAAATGTGAATGAAAAAAAATTATTTCATGGAACAACAGGCAAAGGAATTGATGGCATTCGAGATTACGGCTACGATAATCGATATTATGGAGCAAATACTGCAAAAGGAGACTGGGGTGAGTATATCAGGCGTTGTCTTTCAAAAACGTTTGTAGTGATTGACCAGACTTAAGACAGTAAAAAACTTTTTCTCAGATAAGCAACTGAAAAGCGAGAAAGTTGTTGTTTTACTTTTTAAAGTTTCGTGCAGTTGATCAAAATCGTTTCATAGATCCTTTCGAAAGGAATACTAGTTCATTTTTTAAAACATTTTTAGTACAATCTGTGGAGGATTTAAATGTGAAACATAATTCTGCTGTTACGACCGATCGTATTTCATAGAAGACTTTGATCATAGATGAGCACAAGGCAGTAGAACTGTCCTGTCCTCTGATCAGCACTGATTTCAATGCAAATCTATGAGAAATGATAGGACTTATTGAATTTATGTTAATAAGTTCATTTCAATCCAACAGATAAACTGTAGCGAAAATCGTCTAGAAATCAGAAGTATTTAGTGGTATCGATTCCGACATCTCTAGAACGTTGTTCATTTATATGGCTTTAGCGATGAGATGACGGACTTCCTTGTTATACACGGACTTTTATGCTTTTGAGATTTCACAAAATGTAATTACTACGAAATGAAATAGTCTATTGTGAGACGCAGTAGTTCCTTTGCAACTTATATTTTAATATTTCTCATATAGTTTGCAGAAGATAAATGCTCCTATGTAGTGATATCTTTAGAGCTCTAATAGATCTATCGATTATATATTCTAAAGGCTTTTGGAAAATTCGATCATCCTGATAGTGCATATATTAATCTGATTTTTCTTCAATAGGGCATGGAACATATTTTTCTCCTAATCCAGGCTCACACCCTCATTTACACACAACATCAAATGATCAAGATCAACCACGTGTCTTGTATTATAACAAAGTATTACTGGGCAGAATATACGAAATGAATAAACTCGACAGAGAACTTCAATCAGCTCCAGTGAACTTTCATTCAGTCCATGGCAAACATCCTGGGCGACCAGACGACGACGAATACATTATTTATTGGTACGGACAAGCATTACCATATTTAAAAATAACCTATAAAGTGTGAACCTTAAAATTTCATCGAAGAATTGATAGCGATGTCGCATATGTATAAATGTTTTCAAGAGAAACCACCACTAGTACACTTATTACTGCTGCTCACATTTTTTTGTTTGTTTAAATGTGTAAACTAATTTTTGAAATATTTCTTCTTTTTTAATAAACAAGACAACATTCATCGCAATGATTGAACTTGACCCTTGACTGAATCTTATCTATTTATCATCTGCTCCTTATTCTAGAAGTACGCAAAATATAAATGATCGAACAAAAAGAAATTCCGATGAGAAGACTAAGGATCACTGTAACAGTGGATGCTCAGTACTACTCAATAGTAAAACCAGAAAAAGTGGTAGGTGCTCCATATGAGCAAAAGAAAGACTAGAGAATTGATACTTTGTGATTATCTTTATGTTTCCTAGACAAATAATCTTAGCAATGCTCATGATGATAACGACGATGAAAACAATTCAGAGATTCTAAATGGTAATGATAGTGAAGCATCACAGACCTAGGTCGAACATGCATGCTCGTAAAGAACCGTTTACGAAGAAAAACGGACATATACGGAGGGCGTGCGCGGCTTACATCTACGGCGGGTGTATACGGAGCGATACGGTGAAAAACGGATTCCGTATGCGAAGGTCGTACAAAATGTAGAGTGATTAAAGGGTAAACATTTGTGCTCCGTATATCACCGTCTGCAATCGTATCGGGTCGTATATGGCTACCGCAACCGTACAATTTAGTGAACTGTAACTATTTTAGTTTATTTTATTTTTTCGAATGTATTTTAGGTCATCTAATAGGATAAAATCACTGGTAAATTGGTGACGCTAGTGCGTGTAGTATACAGAATTGGGTGTGGGTGTGGGGGTGGGGTGTGGGTGTGGGTGTGGGCGGGGGTGTGGGTGGGGGGGGGGGGGGGGGGGGGGGGGG